AAACGTGCTGGCTCTCTGCTCTCAGAGCTCCTGCTCTGTGTGCTGCCTATTGCATGCTGAGGCTGCGGTTGTGTCACTGCACGTGTTGTGTATTTAATGTTAACAGATTTGCCATATAAACAGTCTGACTTTCCCAGCAAATGGTGATCCAGGGCTTAAACAGAAAATCCCAGAGGCACTGCAGTGCATTTTCATGAGGCATGATTTATTTAGCAATTGTGTATTTTGGCTTTCTGATCATTATGTCCAGCACTCAAGCTCTATGGGGCTGCTTTACATTGCACATGACATGCCATTGAAAGCCCAGCACCAGGGCATTAGTCATGAATCACCAGGATCTGGGAGATGAAAAAAATTGAACTCTCCTCTTTTTTTTTCATTTTTGTACTTAATAATGCCCCAAGTCATTAGGAACACCAATTTTAGTTTCTTTCATTTTGCTGAAGCAGACACTTGGTTTCTATTGGTGCGTAAGTGATTGGCTTCTCTAACAAAAGGCAGGGGGTTAATGAACCCTTTATGTAACTCCTCTTGTCTTCAAAATGTGAAATAGGAGTTAGCATGTAAATAGTCTTAAATGAGCTATACTTTAGCAGCACTGAAATAATGCTTTTTATTTCATTTCTACCTCCTTCCTTCCTATGGCTTTGCAGATCTGTGTGTGGACACATTCACTTCTATATATAAGCCAATCAGCTTTGGTTTAGACAATTAATGACCTCCTATGGTTAAAACTGGGGACACATTGTAGGACAAACATGTCCATGCATAACAGAAAAGGAAAGTAAGGTAAAAGGTGAAAGGAAAAGGAAGAAAGCTAAAGGAGAAAAGAAAGAAGAGGAGGAGGGAAAAGAAGCAGCAGATTCGTTTTCTCTGTGCAGGAAAAATTTTCTATATAGCAACAAGAGGAGACCTGAGGTTAACTGGTGTAAATATGGCCTTGAAAGGAAGGTGGGGAGGTAAGAATCAGGAACAGAATGGATGATTAAGTGATTTACTGGAAATAACCTGTCCCTTCCTTGTCCCTGTGTTTCAGCCCTCTGCTGTCTCCTGAAAGAGACCAGCCTGTGTCTCAGTCACGTTTTTTGAATAACTCCCCTCCACATCCAAAATACCAGCTCTCTCGACAAAGGGTATTTCTTTCACACTCCATATTACACATGCCAGATACTTTATTGTACTAGATATAACCTCTAAACATTTACAGTAAGTGCATTTAATAATAAAATTTTTTGCCAAACCTTATTGGCTCTCCCTATACTTTTGAGTTACAAACACATCTTTATTTAAGCAGGAAAACAAGTGAACAGATTCCTGAGTCTCCCACATACACTTCTGGTTTATCAGAAGTTATCAGAAGTTTATCACAGGCAAACGGGAACATTTCATGGAGGCTTTTGTTAAAATGTTGGCAGCTATCAGGGGGTTGGATTTCTATGTACCGCAGGAGACAGCAGCATAGTTTAATATTGATGTATTCTGTGGTTTTTTGTTGTAGTTTTTTAAATTTTTTGTTTTGTAGGGTTTTTGTTTGTTGACACTTCTGTTTTATTGTGGTTTGGTTTGTTTTTTAGTATCAGTCCCCTTTTTTCTCCTTGATAAACTTAAGAAACAGAAGCTGGGTAAACAGCTTCTTGGAAAATCCTCTAAGACAGGAAAATGGGAGGAAAGTCATGGGCACTTTTTCTTGAGGCACTGGACAAGTGTGGGAGTAAATACTCTTTAAGCTAAATGTCTTTTGGAAGTGGTCTTTCCAATCAAATGGCAGAACCCAAGCAATTTGTCTGAACAAATGAGATTGCAGTTGCAAATCCCTTCCATAGAGACATTAGTGTGTAGCACAGACCAATGGCTAACAGCAAGAACTGGTTGGAAAGGACATGACAGTACACTTGAAACAACAAGAAAGCCTTAAAGAAGACCAGAAAAAGGAAAAGCCTGTATTTAGCTTATGTTACTTCTGCACCAAGAGGAAAAAAAGTCAGTTCACTAAGGCTGACCTCTGCCAGCTCCATCCAGTCTTGTGGTCAGAAGGGACCCAAAAGAATGACAGATACAACAGGGATGGGGTCACACCTCTGCATGGGATGGCGGTGACACCCTAGAGAAATGCCTTTGCCTGCTCTGCTTTGCATCACCTTGATTCAAACCAATTGAAAGACAGACCACAGGTGTTTGTATTCAAAGCCTCTCCATCTGAGGGTGTCCTTTTAATCCCACCTGGGAAAAACAATCTACTGTGTGGGCTTTTATTTATTTCACAGAAAAAGCTGTGTGGTTTTAGTCTGTGGACACCTACTGCAGTGAGAAGAGACAGATCTGGCTGCGGCAGTGTCATAGACAGAAACCCCAACTGGCTTTACAGTAGTTAAGTATGGTATCTGGTAGCATACTTCTGGGGAAACACGGATGTTCAGGAAAAGCTACAAAACCTGCTTTAGAAGCAGAGCCCACTTGAGTTTCCCCCCAAAAATTGCTCCTAGGATCCAGACTGGCCATGGCTAAACCCCTGACCATCACAGAGGTACAAACCAAAAACCATACTACATAGAACGGCCTGGAAAGTTTAATTTCAGTGAAATCCCATACTGGGTGAAATTGATGCTGATATGGAAAAGTTACTCAGAAGGGGAAGCATAACCAACCCATTGGACATAAAAACATGTCCTTTCCTGTTTGACATCCAAGTTACCCAGACTTAATTTGCATCATGAAGATAGCATAGTTCCTTTTCACCAAGTAACCTACTATGAGCCTTTGTTGCCAGCTTGTTTAAACAGTGCCACAGCTGCGACTATTTAGGAAGGACAGAGTTAAGGAAGCAATATTGGATCTTGCGGCAACTATTCAAAAAACCCCTGGTACTGCTGCACTATGGACAGACAGGTGTGCTTAGATTCAGGAATCACTGAAAAAGCCTTTATTTGGTCTGCCCTCTCTCCTATCTGCTGAGCTTTCAGTATCTCATTTGGGAGCCAGCCTGAACCTACCAGGATATTTCAGAACACACAGAACAAGAAAGGTGTTGACAAGAAAATCAATGTGTTGAACATACACAGAATATACTTCCAAATTTTTATATAAAAGCTGTGCTTTTTTTGACCAATGAGTCACCCAGACTCTCTCTATATAGCAACAGGGAATTAAAATTCTACTTAGTAATTCTCCATTCAAAGGCCATCTTTTCAATTAGTTTTCAGATTGTGCTGCCTCTAAAAAAACATGAAGTAGGAAAACACGTTTTCCTTGACCTGTAAATGATTGCATCAACCATATTCTTTTTAAAACACAACTCCCCACCACTACAGTTGCTGACACAAACACCATTACATTTGAACTTCAAGAGGATTTACTTAGACAAGAGGCAGCCAGCAACAGAAGAATTTTAATGACTGTGGGAGGATCGTTGGTATTTTAAGAAGTCTTCTAAAACCTTTTGAAGAATTTTAGATAAGTAAAAATAAGAGTTTCCCCTAAGTACTTTGTACCATGTTTTCACATAGCAGAAGTGAGTTCTATAACTGCACAATGAAGCTGGGAAGTCTGAACAGAGAAGTAAAACTTAGAAAAATTCTGGGATGAAAACAAATGGCATGAGAACCATTCTAAAGAAGACAGCAAATGAATCCTTCTATTGCAGCTCTGGTTTTTATTCTCTTTGCTCACTGCAGCTTTAAGTTCACTAGCTTGCAAAGAACCACTCAATTCATAGATCAGATTTCCCAAGGATATACAGACAACATGTCAACAACACAAAGCACTAACCAAATTTTTAAACAGCAGCCAAATGCTCAGTGAGTTCCTCTAGTGCAGTTGTACAATGTTTGCCTCCTGTAGCCTTTGATCTAAAGCATTGCACTTCACTGTTTAGAAGAAGACCACCTGCTGCCAGAAGTGCTCCTGGATTAATATACCTGACAACTGAAATTTAGCTGCTGCTAAGGGTTCAAAGGGTCCAGCTTCTTGAATTGTCCAGTGCCTCCTTGGAGACGGGCTGATCAATGTACCTGGACAGCAACTGCTGTTGCCATGACAATGACAACCAAAAAGCCTCCTTGGGCATTCATCCTCACAAGGGGCCTCTGCACCCACCCACATGTCTTGAACGACTGCACCCCTGGTTTGAAATTTTTCACCCATGGCTTCTCAAAACCCACTACACTTTGAGCAGGTAAACTGGGGTGAATGATTTTCTGCTATTATGAGAACACCATTCTCCCCAGCAGTATAAAGGACACTTGGAAAGATCAACAACGCCCACCAAAAAAACCTCCACCCTAAAATAAAGTGTCTATGATCTATTTTTTTGTGGGGATGTTAGAGACAGGGAAAATTGCTCTCACTGGATCCAGGGAAGCAAGGAAGTTCAAGCGCTCTTCAGAAAAAGAAATTGTTTTTCAGTCAGATGTCCCCTGTCTTTGGAGGCAGTCTTACCCTCTTCTTTCTTCTGCTTACCTGCACTAGTTCAACCATCAAGCAGGCACTAAGAAAAAATGATGAATGGATTAGCATGCAGATGCTTTTTAAAGAAGAAATTCATACAGACTGTTCTTCACTTTCTCAGTATGGTTATGTGAATAAAACCAAATCAACCTGTACATTCACTTGCTCTCAAATACAGTCAGAAAAATAAGAGCTGTTTTGCCAAAAGCAAGTGTTTATATTCAAAACCTTGGTCAACTGGCAGATAATGTTATGTTTATCCTCTCTGCCTACTCCACCTTGCACAGTGTCCACACAAAATTAGCTTGACAGTTCAGGTGAATTTCAGTTTTACTGAAAGCAGTGTCAAAACTCTCACTTTATTCAGTGGAGGTAAGTTTTACTCGCTTGTTTCTCTTCCCTCCTTCAGCAAGAAACTGCCTGTTCCAAGCAATTTTACTTGTCCTCAAAGCAAGAGATGCTAAAAACACTGAATTTTGCTGGGCTGACTCTCTCCCCTCCATTTCTTCCCTGCCCAAATGGGAGAACATTGTTCTCTAAGTTACATTTCAGTAGGGTACACTGAAGGATATACATCTCTGATTTTATTTTGTGGGGTTTTTTTGGGAGTGTTTATTTTTTTGTTTGGGTGTTGGGTTTTTTTTGGTATAGAGGCAAATGACGATGAGACAAATGGCCCCAGGAATTTACTCTTGATATATTTTACATTGTTAGATGATCATACAGTTTCACAGAGAAAGGTCCCAAGTTTTTTATCAGCAAGATCCCACCTTTGCTTACACTTAGCCCTGTTAAGGAGTCTTTTTTAATGTCAGTGATTCTGGGCAACCGATATTCACATGAGTGGCATTTCTCTTCCAAACAGTCTGGTATGAAAAAGTCCACCTGTTAGCTTAGCTATTTATAACAATGTGCATGTGTGCCTATTATCTGTAGCACAGTCCAGTCATTTTCAATAGATGAATATGTAGTAAAGTCTTGACTTCACAAAATAAAATTGTACCTCGGTTCTTAATAGCTCAATGCTTTTGAAGTGAAGGGTATAGTAATTTAAAAGATACCCTACAAATATTTCTCAGTGCAAAAATGCAAAAGGTGTTTTGTTTTCAATTACAAGAAAAGTTCCATAAAAACTTACACTTTTTTCACATTAAAAATGCTTAAGTTTTTTGCCATGAACAAGAAAAACATTCCAATGACATAAATACATTTTTTTTTTAATTTACCAACTTGATTGTAGCCCTTTAAGAGCCCTAGGGATGTGTTCTATCTTAAGAACTTGTCCATAAAAAACTTGGTACCCCTCACATGTTACTCATTTCATACTGCACTTCAAAGAAGAACCTTATATACATTGTGACTAAAGTACTGTTTATTTCGTAATCTAAACAAACATTGGAATACAGTCTATGCTTTTCTACTTTCCTGTAGACTTTACAAAGAGCTTTTTTTTTCATAATTAAAACAATCTGCATACACACAGAACATGCATTCTCTAACGCCAGTAATGAAGGTAAGAAGAGTCAGTTTCCATCATCTTCCTGTTGCCTGTGTTAGAAAAAAATACTTTTGTTTTTACTGTAGTTATGGCAATGTGGCTAAGGATACAAAGACTAGAGCACAGTTTTACTCCCTGCACAGAAAACGTTCATCACAAGCATGCTGATGGTGATACATATTACATGTCTATTAAATGATAGGCATACTTTTATCCCCTTTACTCCCTTTTTAAAAATACTAAGTGGCTACGTGTAAATGCAGTGAAGCAGTTATAAGCTTAATTAATCAGAGTTGACTCAGACTGGCACCAAGATGCAGCGAAGTCCAACAAAGTCTCAGCGAAGCTTTCCACGGGCTATCGATGCCCTCCGCCTCAAGGCATCTACCTTCTACTTTTCTAAAGTAGAAATCAAAGGCCTTGCATCCTGGCCAGTCCTGTGGACGGGGTGGTCTGCACTGGTGTGCCAGGCTCCCTGGAAAAGAGGCACTTGTAGTCCATTAGTGTTTAAGAAAACATTGTGAGTGGGTTACCTTCCCCGGGCCCATGCACCCACCCCGCTCTGTGGCGTAGCCTGCTGCTCTTTGTCGGTCACGTGGCTGGCTGTGGTTTTACACCACAGAGTGGTCGTTGCTGTGGACACCAGCCAAGATAGTGTGGTTGAGCGAGGATGCCGACCGATCTGAGCCTTCGGTGGGGCCATTGGCGCTCTCACTGCGCTGGCAGCAGAGGATCTGCTTGAAGGTTGCGCTCATTTCCTTGTCCCGGTAGGAGTAGATGATGGGGTTCATGGCAGAGTTGAACTCTGCCAGGAGCAGGAAGAATTTTTCATAGGCCAGGACGTTGCACTGGGGACAGCAAACATCAAGGAGCAGCAAGACTAATCCTGGGGTCCAGCAGATTATGAAAGCACCTAGGAAGAGAAAGAGTGGACAAAACACAACAAACTCCACAAATATACTAATGCACCATTACTCATCAAAATATCACAAGAAGCACCCAGCTGGAAGTGGCAATGGTTAATTTTCTCTTTCAAGAGCATCGTTCCCACACTCTTTCTTCACTGACCTGATGAGCAGGATGCCTTTCAAAGATCTGTAAATGGTTATGGGAACACATCAAAAGAGCAAGGCAAACCCCCATGCCCCATCCCCGCCCTCCTCACCATCTGAAACTCTTCCTGGCAAATACATTTGCATTTAAATTTGATAATGAGGAACATTTTTTCCCTTCAGCTAGAGACCTCTGACTAATCAATCTCTTGATCAGGAGAAACAATGCTGCAATTTACTTCTCAAACTTATAACAACAAAGAAAACCTTTCTGTAAGTGCTGTGACTGAAGCATCATTAATAGAAAAAGAGTGCAGGCAGCAATTCTCAAGAAAAAGAAAGCCTGGGTCTTGTTAATCCATTTCAGCCTCATTATGTAATGGAAAGTCCTAAACACACATCCTTAATGCACTGAAACGTAGTCCTTCAACAGATCTTTTCTTAGGGCTCTATTCAATCGAAATTCAGAGGCTCCTCAGGCTTCAATAGTGTCAAAGCCAAAGAGCCTTACCCCTCCTCCTTTCTCTGTTTTGCAAAGCTGAGGAGAACAAAGCCCAGAATAAAATTCAGAGTTCAATGCAGAAGTGAAATCTAATGCCTGGTACTTTATTGGGAACACTGAATTAAAGGAAGGTGCTCACTCCTTCCAAGGTTAGAGGAGTTTTATGTGTAAGCACTGCTGGGGAAGTCCTTACACACCAATCATGCCAGAACAAAGATGGGCCTCCTGAGATTTTCCTGGCTGAGATGGAAAGTGGAAATCAGTCTTACCACCAGTGAGCAGGATCAGTGCAGGCAGCAGCAATAAGGGCTTCCCAGCACTACCCACTGGGCACTGTTTTCAAACTGGTTCTCCAGTCATTTTGGTATTTATTTGTTAACATACTGCTCCTGTTTTTCATTCAGTGATGTTCTCTGCAGGTCTAGCAGCTAACTCAAGTCAGTTCCCACAGCATACAGACTTTTCGTCATGCCTGTCAAGAAGGTGCCAGCTATTTCCAGTTAAGGCAGTGATGACTGTAAGCTATGCAGACACCTTTATGTTTGGATAACAAAGGTACATAGATCAAACAGAAGAATGTTTTCTGAAGGGCTTTGCAAACATGAAGAGTGTGTCAGGTGACAGACACTGGCTTTTCCATACCAAAAAGCATCCCTAAACTGAGCTTTCTTGCAGCTATTGGTGCCATAGTGCCACTCTATGCCTATCACTTTGCTGACCAACAAAGCATGCCAAAGAAAAGAAGCTGGGAGGTGAACTACCAGCTTCCAGTGCAAAGCACTGAATCCTTTGATCAAGTGACTTTGTTAGGGTCTGGCAGCAACTTTACAGCATGGGGAGGATGAAACTCTCCCATGCCGAGGTGTCATTAAACACATGAATCCACTTCATAGCTTTTGTCAGCAGCTCTTTTAGATTCCAGCAGTCCTAGAAAAGAGTACCTGAAACCCGTGCAAAGGACTACAGTCTTTTGTCCCTTCTTTGTACCTGTTCCCATAAGACTAGAAAACTGCATCTCCTTATTTGCAGGATTGTCCATGTTGATAATGAGTCCATCCTCTGCACGGAGAAGCTCTGCTGAGCTGGTTTCTGCAGAAACCAAGCCAATCATTCAAATTCAACTACTCACTGCTGAAACTGTACATGCTGTATTTGGCCTCCTAGCTAGTGAGGCAGCAGTGGACTTTGTTCTAGCTTGAGCATGTATTTTCTTCATTATAGGCTGCCTTGGGAAAATAACATCGGAGACGGGAACAATGCAAGTCATGCGATCTACATTCAAGGAAAAAAGACAATGACAGCATCCTCACCAGGCCTGCAGCAGAAAAGTCCAATGTGGGAACAATGGAGCTGACAGGAAAGCTCTCCTAGCGTTGTTCAAAGTTGCAATTGAAAGCTTCCAATTTTCCAACTTTTTTTTTTTAAATCTGTTGTTGAGAAACAACAGAACATTCTGTTGACATAATTTCTGATGTATTAAAAACAGCAACAAGAAGCTGTATGGTTGAGGCAGGTAGGAATTTGCTCCTGAGAAAGCACCAAAGTTATCGAGAAAAGTCCACATGCAACCCACTGCACTGAACACTGGTCTCAAGTGGAGTTTCTGAGCCTCTCTGGAGTCCTTAGGTCTGATAACCTATGTGCTGAGGCTTGATCGGCTGCACTCAAGAAAAAGCGGACTGTAGTTGAGCAAGCAACTAAATGTGCAGCTCATGCTACACTGAAAAATGATAAAAACAAAGGGTTGCCGTCCCAGCCAGCTCTGGAAGGAAGTCACTGTTGTGCAAGTTGTCATCCTGCTGCTCATGCCTGGCCTGGAGCCGGGTCAAGAAGGCCATGCTGTCCAGCTCCAGACCTGCTTGGGTAATGTGGGCTTTTCCACTGCCCTGGCCCCCAGCCTCAGACCAGGCTGACTTTCCAACCACTTTCCTCCATGAGACAGCAGTGGATGGTAGGGGAGCACACAATACCCAGGACCACAGCTTTGTGCAAGCAAGCCTTCCTTCAAGCTTCTGCACAGACTGCTCACTTGTTACGGGGAAGTAAAAGCCATTGAAACCAGCCCCATTCAGTCTAGTGAGTTTTTTATTACTTTAGCCCCTGGGATTTTCCTAGCAAAACTTCCCATCATGCTAATGGCTCCAATAGTTATTAAGTGCTTGCAAATGGTGACACAAAAAATGCCTCAGGTTTGCTCACTTGTTATTTAACTGTTAATACCCTAGAAAATACTGGAAGGTGTCAGTCATGATAAGGGTATGTTTGAGTCAGATACAATGCAAGGAACACAATAATGCTAGGCTCCTATTACTTCAGATTTAGGAAAGTTCATCTGTTAACCATGGAAGGAAAACAAAGCTTGAAATTTTTTTTGTTTTTACTTCTTACTTGAAGTATTTGTCAAAGTAAGCTAAAACTGAGGTTAAATTTTTCTCCTCCTAAAAATGTGTCATGCATTGATTTCACCAAGAATGAAGATCTAAAAATATCACATCTAATAAAACGGTGATATCCAAAAGCTTCCTGCTACCATACTCCGGAAAGCCTTAAGCGTACACCAAAATCTTGATGTATTTTTCTGCTCAGGAACAGAAGTGAGAGCAGCCCAAAGAACAGTGCTAGTAATTTTCATGTGCATCTTAACTTTTTACAGACTCGGTTGAACCCAAGTTACAATTACATACAAAGTTGATCTGTTGCAGTCAGTGAATTGAATCTTTGTGGATATGCCACTGTCGTACCATGGCACTAGGAGAGCTCAACATGCATGAATAAATTTGCAGATTGTATGTCCTTGGGTGGCTGAAAAATACTGTTGCCTGAAGACGGGATGTCATCTCCAACTCCAGCAGTCCTTAGGAGGCACTGGCACTGCATGAAGCTGAAGAAGCTGCTCACTTGCAGCTGCATCCTACGGTGCATGGCCAAGGTCTGTCCTGAGGGTCTGGCCCCAGAGGGCTGGGTGAGGAAGAAATGCCCATCAGTCTGAGAGTGAATGGCTAGCCATTAGGCAGGAAAGCTTGAGGGAACCAGAGAAATAGCACTTAAAAGATTTAAGGACACAAGATGAAAAGGGTCCCTTTGGGCTGAGAACCATGTTTTACAGCAGGAAATATAATTACAACAAAGCAGTTATCACAATAATATAATTTTCTGCTGCTGCGTTATATTTCTCACTCAGGACTGAGTGCATTATCTGTCTAGCAGAGCTGTGACAGAAGAACACTGGGGGCTTTTCAGTGACCATGATATGGCTACAACACATCTGTCGAACCCACATCTGGTGCATCAGTGCAGATTGTCTTTCCATGGTAGCTGGATGCTTAGAAACCCCTGGGTAAGAGTGACATGGCCTGACAGCAAGATTTGATTGCAAGAGAGTAAAAACTGTTGTAGGCAGTAGGCATATGAAACCAACCATGATAAATCACACAAAAACGAGTAAGTAGAAGAACAAATGAGAAAGCAACTCCAAAAAAACAGCAGCAGAAAAGAAATAAGCTACACGAGAATAAACACTGATGAAACAGTCACTCATTACTAGGATACCAGACTGGGTGGCTACTCACGAAACCTCTTGAGTTAGCAGGCGAAGTGTTTCCTAAGTAGCACATTTTTTCTTTCTTTTTTTTTTTTTTTGTCTTTTGCCTCGGACAACCTAAGTCTGTGTTTATTCCGCAAACATTTATTTTCCTCTAACTCAAAACAGCAAAATAAAAGAAGCACTTCTGCTTCTGCCAAGTCACACACTGCTGTCCCTTGGAGGATCTGGAAGGATGCAGCTCTTTGTCAATACACACCTATTCTGAACCACCCTTTTTCTCCTGCTTAACCATATCGTGTCCCTTTCATGTGCCCTGTTTTATCTATCTTGTGTGTTAACCCTGGCATGGGCTCACACTCCTCTTGCAAATTCCTCAGTCTGCATGGAAGTGAAAAATATTGAAAAGGCCTCTTTTAGGGAGGGAGAGGAGAGAAAAAAAAATCTCTCTTGTGTTTGCAGTTTTGTTAAGATTACAGAAACAGGACAAGGCACTATCATATCAAAGACAGAAAAGATCCATTCTAGCTGAAATGCAGGATCATTATAATCTGCTTCTTTTGCCCATCTGCTCTTGTCCACCCGTTATCCCTTCCAAATCCCTTCCTGCCCTGAGAATGGCACTTGTGCAGGCAGCTGCACCACCACTTCCTCTGGCGCAATGGTGACTGAGAGAGGAAAGGACACTGAGCATCACTGTTATCACTGCTACCAGCAGGGAGAAAGGTTTTTCTTTAGGCTGAAAGCAATGCTATGGGGGCATGATTTGTTTTATTTAACAAAACCATAGCCAAAAAGGGCTACAGAAATGCCTGGCA